CCCCCCCCCCCCCCCGCATTGCACTTTTTATAATTAGGATACTACAGTTGGTACAACAACAAGGAGAAAAAATTAGTAATGGAAGCTGCGTTTTCAGAGCTTGTGTCCAACTATTAGAGGAGAGCAAGCCAAAGAAGGGATCCTTAGGACCAGAGTGTGTGAGTGCACTTGTGGGAGGGTTTTCTGGGGTGACTCCGGGACTTTACAGACATACAAGAAAGGCTACCTAGTTTGGATCTGTGCTGGAGGAGAGAGGAGAGAGATGAACTTGGGAATGGTTTTGCTTGAGGCAGGGCAAGTAGCAAGGTTAATATTCTCAGAGTCTATTAAGTTTTTTTAAATGTATGTGTGTATTTATTTTTTAATCTTTATTTTTGAGAGAGAGAGACAGAGTGCAAGTGGGGGAGGAACAGAGAGAGAAGGAGACACAGAATCTGAAGCAGGCTCCAGGCGCCGAGCTGTCAGCACAGAGCCTGACACGGAACTCGAGCTCGTGAACTGCAAGGTCATGACCCAAACCGAAGTCGGATGCTTACCCGACTGAGCCACCCAGGCGCCCCTGTTTTTATTTATTTTTGAGAGAGAGAGAGAGAGAGAGAGAGAGAAGGTGTGAGCAGGGGAGGAGCAGAGAGAGAGAGGGACACAGAAGATCCAAAGTGGGCTCTGCATTGACAGCAGTGAGCCTGATGCAGGGCTCGAACTCACCAACCATGAGATCATGACCTGAGTTGAAGTCAGATGCTTAACCAACTGAGCCACCCAGGCATCCCAGAATCTATTAAGTTTTAAGTAAAACAATGATGAATAGAGAAGGCTTTGGTGGTCTGTACCCCCAACGCTCCCCAAGAGCTATCCCTAGTCCTTCCTCTGGCCTTACACAGCTACAAAGAGCACTGGCATGGGAAGACCCCTCCCTGCCCCTGAAATGTTTTGTTGAGAACCATGCTGCCTTTGTGAAGGATCCTTGCAAACCACCCGGGACAGGGTGGCACCCTTTGAGAGGGAATTGGCAGGTCAGGGTAAGGACGGGATCAAAATCCAGGGGCAGTCGTGACCCCCAAACAGCCAGAGTCACAACCAACCAACCCACTGGAGTAAAACAGCTGGGATAGGCTTTGAGACTCAACTGACAGTGTCTGAGAGGCTTTTACAAGCACTGTAATTTATTTCAATTCCCCTGAGTATCATCGGAGGCAGCCCTCCATGTGTCCCTGACAATTGACCAGGAAGGAAATCCTAGAGGAGACACTGGTCCAAGATGACCCTGGGCAGACACCTGGCACCTGGGGCTCTGGTCAGATCTCACGTTCCTTCCCCACCTTGGGCTGCCCCCTTGTACTCACCCCCAAGAACAGGAAGGTCAGGGAGACAGGAAGTATCGTCAGTAGAGAATCCCGGGCTCCTGTAACAAGTCACTCCCAGCCAGGATGGTGCCGCCAAAGGAGGCACTACAGGCAGCCGCGAATCAGGACTTTTTGGCCTTGGCTGCCAAAAGACCCCCTTTTTGAAAGGCTTTTCCTTGCTATCCACCTATGGGAATTAGGGCTAATGAAATAATAATGAACATAAAGAAGTTGCTCAGAGAAAATATATACGGTCTCACATAAATTCCATTCTTTATTAAAATACAGAAATACTTTTTACAGCATGAACAGAAAATACTGCATTGTCTTGGAATCTTAAGATTTAGAAATTTTACTGAATCACTCCCAGGCCCACAATACACTGTACTAGAAAAAAAGAATACTGCATCAAAAATGAAAAAAGCACCCCAAAATATTAAAATCATTAAGGCCAGTAGTGTTTATTTAATGAAACTACATATCTGACTCTACTGTACCTACCAGTCACTATTCAAAGGAATATATTAAAAATAGATCTCTAAATAATGAAAAAATTGGCCCAAAGGAAAAAAGCTTATGTACAATAACAAAAAGGCTTTGAAAAATTAAAAGCACATTTTGATATGGTGTCTTATATATAAGCGTCTATTACCGTAAAAAATGAGCACATCAACTCACTCTGACAACATGCTTGTTTGGAGCCTACTTATTGCACATGTGAGATCTGTCACTGTATGCAGTAAGAATACATGTATGTTCATACACAGATAATTATAGTATAAACAGTAAGTGATGAAATTAAATGAGAGGATAAATAACTTTAACAAACTACATTTTGAGGCACATGAGGAATAAAATTCATGTTCTTTCTAAGTTACGGACACAGCATCTTTTTTCTCCCCTGTTTTTTGTACCTTAGTGTAATGCTTATTTGCATTTAACCTAGTTATCGTATGTTTGCATGCTTGGCAAACTGAATTACAGAACCAAATTGCCTATTACAATTTATCATTATGTGACACAATTACATAGAAACACTTCGAAGTGAGAGGGTTGTCCCGATATTAGGAAACACTGATTGCATCATGCTTACAAAGAACAAAAATTAAGGAGAGGCTCTTTCCCCAGGTGACAGAGTTTACTGCTCTTCCTCTCCAATGGAAATGCTGTTCCCCATTACAACAGGTTCTATTCATTGATTTCTGGTCTGCAAAATTAGATCCATTGGAATAATAATAATAAAAAAAAAAGCTAGCCCCTAAAATGACACCATTTCCTAGGCTCAAAACTCCACACTCTCCAAGCACTTCTAAATAAAGCCTGGAAATGAAGTAATGTTCCAGAATTCCATTACGTCCACAAAAAGTGAAAGCACAATGAATTTTCGAGTAGCTGGAGTGTCTGCAATACATGTACCAGATCCTCCTTGCACACGGGCCTTGGCACAAGCAGTTGATGCATAAACTTTCACTGGATGAACTTTATCTCAAATTCCCAAACCTAATCATAAATACACGCATGAATGTGCATACACACACCCTTTGCAATCTTTAGAAGGGAGGAAGACCATCCAGTTAGGGAAAAGGCAATGCGGTCAGCCCTATTTTTCTCTTACCGAGACAGGGAGATGACCTATTTGTGCCTTTGGTTTCTGGCTTTTTCATGCAGGGCACGGTTAAGGACAGGAACTTTACCAGGGAGAGGATTCGACTGTCACCTTCCCAGACAGAGAGAGATCAGAACGCCTCCTGCGTGGGCATATTGGAGTAGAGAAGCAGAATAAAGAGGTGGAAACATGAGATTAACTGAGGCTGGGTTGAAAGAGAGAATCTGGCAATGAACTCCTCAACTTACAAAACAAAAGGCATAACATTTCAATCATCATCATTCAATCTTGCAAGCTTAGAGAACATGGATTTCCACTTGCTCAGGTGCCCTCGGTATTTTATCAAGAGCCTTGTCAGATAGTTACAGCCTAGCCTGGCTAGTAAAACACAAACCTTCTGGCCCAGTGATGCTTTGTGATACTACAACGGCACTTAATTAACAAAAAGTTTTCACTGTTAGTGTAGAGGAAAAAATGGCAACAGAAGGTAATTTAATGAAATGATGTTGCTTCATCCATTTTTATTGCATTTTATTGTGTGAGTATAGAATCAAAAGTAAATTTATCTGCAAATGTACTTAAAGGAAAAAGTCTTTATATTAATAAAATTATTTCTAGGTATATACAGGAGAGAAAATAATCAACTGATGTCTATAAAATGGAAATATTTGCTGTATAAAGCAACTGATCTTTCAACATTTCTGGAGGATGAGAGGAGAGGAGCTCATTTTCTTTGACTATATCAAGTGATCAAAGATATAGCTAGAAGATGACAACAAATTAAATATTGTGGTTTTGAATACAGTGGTTTTGAATAAAAGAAATTAAAGTTCTCCAAATTCTCACACTTAGGCAGCAACATTTTCAGATCCTGTAGTGGAAACAAGTTTGACTTCTAGTAAGAAGGGTATGTGACCATGCTGGACAAAGGCCAGGCATAGAACATCCCCTTTCCAGAATTTTGCTGCCTCTCTCTCTCCTCTAAACTACATTTTCCTTTGAGAAACATATCATCATCTTTCCCTTCCCAGACTTCATACTGCACACCTTCTCATCACACTTGTAAATGTCTAAAAACAAAACTTCACCCCAGAAATGCTTCTGACATAGCTCATCATGCCTCATCTTTGATCCGGGCTGGCCCTCCTCATTTAAACTGAGACACTGGCCTGGCTTTGGTCACAGGGGGTGCAGTCAGGGTTAAGTGGGTCTGGACAAAGCTACACGTTCTATAAAGAGCTGTGGAATGATCAGAATTGCTACTGGATGTCGGAGTGACTCGAGGCAGATTGCAGGAGGCAGCGTGGCTGGGAGAAACAACTCATGCTTCTCAAGAGGTATGTCAGATTGTCTCCAGGTCACCTGGGCTCTTGACCTTCAGGACTGAATGAAGAGAAATCCCTACGGGGATGAGCATTTGGGCCTGTGCTTGAGGAAGGTTGATGAGTTGTATCAGTGAGATGTCAGGGTGAGTCACAGAATGAAGCATTTAAAATGATAGGACTAAAAATAAAAGGGACAGAATTCTTATTCCCAAACTCAAGGACAGACTGAGAGGGCTAGACCTTGAGTAATGGAAAGAGTAAGTGGAGATCAGGCTGGAAGCAGGATAGAGCCAAAGAATGCTGTAGGCAGGTGGTGAGGGGATAGTGGAAGGCAGGCAAGGATCAGGACTACTGGGCCAGCAAGTGAGGAGGCCACCTGTTAATTCTTTATTTCTCTCTCCACCCACCTCTCCTGCCCAAAAAACATTTGATGTAGTGGAATGGAGAAATACAGAAAGGGGGAAATGAAGAAACACAGAGATGGAAGGAAGGAAGGAAGGAAGGAAGGAAGGAAGGAAGGGAGAGAGGGAGGAAGGGAGGGAAGGAAGGAAGGAGGGAAAGAGAAAAGAGAAAGAAAGAAAGAAAGAAAGAGAAAAAGGAAGAGACAGAAAGGAAGAAAAAAAGGTAGAAACTAATGAGAAAATGATGTTTATGTGGCTTCGAAGAAGAGTTACATGCCTGTGAGAGAAGAGGATAAGAAAATATCTGGATGAAGTCAGACAGGGGGAGAAGCAGAAGCTACAAGTCATAAAATACAAGAGTGAGGAGCCTACAGCCCCACTGGGCTTCGCTGAGAGTAACTACCGTCAGCACCTGCAAAGCTCACCTGGATGCCCCCTCCTCTCCCGGCGGAGGAGGTGGGGGTATGGGGTTGATAACTCAGAGAGCTTGTTTCTTTTGCACTGCCCCTTGATCTGCCCCCACAGAGTGCTGTGGGGCCCATGGGAGATGATGTGGAGAAGGTTCTACACTGGAGGTGAGCTGTTCAGGTGTCCCTCATGCTTCTTCCTCCCAATTCCTCTGGGATCGGGGCTCTAGAGACAAGAGCAGTGTCTGCACATTTGCATGCACTCACAGCATCAGCTCACCATGCCTAAAGATACAGCGATAAGATTACTTTAAAATGAACGCGGTGGGTGTTACACATCAGGCAATGTCGCCCTTCAAAGCGGTTTACCCGTTGCAACTCCTTACACCAACACCTGCCTGATATAGTTAGGAAATGAATTGTGGCTCTTATTGCTTTAAGCTTTTGGACCAACTAAGGAAACATACAAGGAAAAGACAAACTAAAGAGTACGGGACGCACCATTTTAAATTTCAAATGGATTACCTGTGTCATTCACCAGGCAACATCCCAGTGGCTTTGACTTGCTCCAAAAAGAAAAAAACATCTACCCCCACCAAGGGACGACAGTGCACTTCCAACCACACTTTGAAAGAATGTGTTCTAGCTTCTAAACATGACTCTAGAAGAGATGTACTAAAAATACCCTGAGTAATGACAACATTCTAGGAACACGTGCCCAGGCTCTTAAAGGTGATTTCTTTGAAGGTGAAACTAAATTTTGAGGTGCTTATGAAAAAAAAAAATCGGTCTCATGATTCTATTCTCAGTGCTCCTATGGAACCATTTGGGAAGAAAGAGAAGCCCCAGATATTTCTGAGTCTGTTCTCAAGGACAGAGATGGTAAAGAATGAAAGAGGACAAGGAAGGTTCTCTTCTATCCGTGTCCTACAGGCTGTGTCTTCTCAAAGAGGCTTACTACCATCCATACCTGTGACAGAGTGCCTCATGCAGGAGGCCCAGTTCAGCTACCTGCCCACTCTGAGGGGAGCAAGGTACAGGGAGTGTGGGGGTCATGGAAAGAGCTCTGTGGCCCTCCCCCAGAGATGCTTACCTCCCTGCACAGTTTACCCGCAGATGGAAACCCGACGCATTTGTGCGAGGCATCACAGATTGCAAAGGAGAAGGACAGGATGCTTAAAAGTAAAGCTGTAAGTACGACTCTCTAATGCCTGCAGAAGACCACTAGGCCAAGCGGGAATGTGAGATCGTAAGACAAAAAGATGCAAGTCGGTGACTGGGGAGGTTGGGAGAGCCAGGAATAAAAGGTGTCAGGCTCCGCTTTGGCAATTCTCCTTTCAATAAAGATAACGGGGTTCAAAGAGAAGTTAGTGGTTTTTCGACAAAAAAGTGAAAACCAGTCAAGCATTGTTTCACATGGTTCATTAACAAGGTGTCTTTTATACAGCAAGTGCTATGCAAGGTGCTAGATAGTTCCTTTTTCCAAGCACCAAGATTTAAATATTTTCGTAGAGGGGCACCTGGGTGGCTCAGTCAGTTAAGCATCCGACTTTGACTCAGGTCATGATCCCACAGCTTGTGAGTTCGAGCCCCACATTGGGCTCTGTGCTGACAGCTCAGAGCCTGGAACCTGCTTTGGATTCTGTCTGTGTCTCTCTCTGTCCCTCTCTTGCTGGTTCTCTCTCTCTCTCTCTCTCAAATATAAACATTAAAAAAATTTAAAAACTTAAAAATACAAAAAAATATTTTCATAGAGAATCTGCTCCATGAGCCAGAATTTTATCTAAGTAAGCTACATAAACCATGTGTTATGTTTAGTTTGGGGTCTGATATCTAAATCATTGCTAGATAGTTCTTCTGATTAAGATAGAATGCTCTAGAACGCAAAACCTCCCTCTTCAATGCCTCCTTAAACATCCCCTCAATTCCCACTTCCCACTTCCTGTTGCATTAACTCACAAATGCACAGTCACTCATGCATGCACACACAAGCATGAAATGTAACTTGGGTTTGGGGTTATAACTGCATAACTCTTCAGACCTTCACGACAGACCATGTTTTTTTCTGTCATCAATTATAACTTGCTTTTCTCTAAACTAAAGCTTCCTTAGTTCATTATATCACTAATGAGTACAATTAAGAGATAGGCCCTTGGTACCTCACAGCATTTTTTCCCCAGTTAACGAAGCACACGGCCTTATAGATTCATTCACACAAGCTTACGTAACTCATATTGCTTGTGTGACCACAGCCAGATTTACGACGACACTGAAGATTCTCCCAGGACACCCTTTGTGTGTGTGTGTGTGTGTGTGTGGCCACAGGAATTTTGCTAGGTTTTCACGACAGGGCTGATGAATCTGATGGCCACGACCTAACTAAGTTCTACATTTATATAAAGCGTCTGCTCCTCTATTCTAATGTAACAGAGTGGGGATCTGCTCGCCAACATCGATTTGTATTATAGGTGCGGTTACTGCACGGACAAGCTCTGTTAAAAAGAGAAAGATTGCAGAGTTGGCTTCATCTCAGACGTCTGTGTCTGATTCACAGACATCTGTGTCTCCCTGAGAAAGAACTTTTTCACAACCAGAGCTGTCCAACAGAGAAATAAGCCACTTCCTATGGGAGTGAACTCCCCGTAATGGGACGTCGTCAGGCACAGCCATTTCCCAGGGCTGTGGGGGAAGGCGGTCCAGTGCTGGGTGGGGAAGGCAGAGCCTTCCTGAGATGTGGGGGTGCTACATTTATGTTGGAGGCCGTCTCCGGTCACCCAGGTTGACTGTGAAGTGACACTCCATCAGGGCCCGCTATTTCAGAGTGAGCTGTTGGGAAACACAAGGCTCTGGGCGTGTTCCAAAGTAGGATCTAAGGGAAGACGCCTGTGTCGGCCTTTTGTATGAAGCGCCAATGCACAGAACCAACTCCGAGGCTCAGGTCACATGGTAGAGCAACAGGGCAGAGCATGATGGGCCGGCAGCCCGGAGCAAGTCTGAGTGGTCTACTTAGACCGTTTCGACGGAAAGACGCTGTTGTCTCCGCAAGTATCTGACCTCATTATTTGATCGACTGCTGAACTAGCTCTTCCCCTTTGGAAGTGTCTCCACTCCTCTCTCCTGCCCACGTCCTCTTAATATGGACTCCGGGTACAACCTCCTAACCTGGAGGGAGCTGTCATTCCTAAGTTCTGCTTTCCATCTCTTCCTCTGGAGGAACTCAAACTCAGTGCTAAGTGTGAGGGGCTTCTGTATGGGTCTGGGGCCCTGCTTGTGAAAGGGAGGGAGCGAGGAACAGCAAATCCTTTTCTAAACGCCGTGCTTTTGCCCAGAGCTGCGTCTCCGTTAGGGGAATTTCCTGAAGCCTGCGAGAGCCAGGGTGAACGGTTCTTCTTAAGCACAGTGTTTTGGTGAAGTCCGTGTGTGATAATACCACTGTAACCACAGAGGAATTTACCACAGGAAGTATCCCAGCTGTGACTTATTAGCATTAGAACAAATTACACAAAGCAAATTGTTAACAGACATGTTTCCATAATATTTAACTGGTGGCCATAAATAACAGAGATTCTCTTTCAAGTCAAGGTTAGATTTTCAAAAATCCAGCTTCCAATTGTCCAGGAAGGAATCGTCTTCGATTAGAGTAACCACTGGGGGGAAGGACTCCCTGGAACTTCCCTCGACAGCACAACAGCACGACCAGCAGTTGGGCTGGAAGCTCAAGGGCCGTGTGAGCAAAGCGGGACGTCGTCCCCGGGGTGACATAGAAGGATGGAAAGAGGAATGACTGCATCTCTAAACTTCTGGATTCACTTCTGGGGTCCCCAAGCGGCCCTCTCATGCCACCAGGAATATAAGACATGGTGAGACAACAGCACAGCTGGGCAACTACTCAGTTCGTGGAGTGTGTTTATGGTACAAAATAAACCACATCCACCAGCAGGTTTTCATCCCTCTCCTTAACAAAATATTGCAGCTTTAAAAACGTCACCTCCTCCCTCACAACCCGATGTCTTCTTATCTGAGGTTTAAAAAAAGAAAGGTGAGTCCAATCTCTTCATCCTGTAACCCCACCAGGGAAGAGTTGAAAAAGTGCCCTGTGAGAGCAAACACTGGCACTCACCTGCTCACATGTATGAAAACCTGACTATGGAGACATCAAGGAGAATATTTCCATCTTTCCCGACTTTCTGCCAATGACTAAATTCAAGTCCTTGGTCACTGCTGGGAGTTTCCAATTATCTTCAGAGTTACGACAAAATTCTCCTAAAGCATTATCTCAAAAAATAATTTAAAAAATGATTTTAATTAAAAAAAAATTCCATACAGCACATAAATACAAAAATAGGTTATTGCTGCTTCAAGGGTTGAGGCTGTTAGAAGAGGTCCTCTTTTATTGTTTTCCTATGAAATTTATAATTGTATCTTCCCTCTCTCACTGGTTTCCTCCTCAAGTAAACCAACCTTCGCTCAGGATTCCTTCCATTTGGTTCTCCTGAGGAGTTCTTCATTCCTTTTTCCTGATGAAAGGAAAAAACCCCAGCAGCTCCACTGAAGAGAAATGATGGGAGCCCGGTGAACGCTCTGGTGGGCATTCTAAACAAGGCGCTCAAGACGTCTGTTCCCTGCCCCACGGGCTGCCTGGCTAGGTCTCTGCCTCAGTCACAGGGGCCCTGGACTGGCTTGACCCATCCAGCCAGCCTGAGGGATGCAGGCCCAGAACCCCAGAACCGTCCCCCAACTGCCTCCAGGGCGCGGCAGCAGAGGGGATAGTTGGTCATAACAGCCTAGAGTGAGTTCTGCTCCAAGTTGCAGCTGGGAGGCATTCTAAACCAAGCAACTGTAAAACTGATCCGCTCTCGGCCTCTTCTAGGCTCTTCCAACTACTGTTAGAACTAACACACACACACACACACACACACCCTACATCTTTTTACCTGAAGTCTTCACAAAGGGAATCATGCACTTATAAAATACTTAAAATGATTTAGGCAACAGAATTGTCTTTAGATTAAAAAAAAAAAATGTTTGACACAGGTGATTGGAAATGTCTGGACATGCACACACACACTCACCCACTCTAATTTGGAATTATGCAAAACTATATCATTATTCACCGCAACCTGAAGCAAAGCTACTGCCATGGAATAACAAGTGTGAGGTTCCCAAAATAAGCTCGCGTTTGGACGAGAATGACACACATGGCCTGACTCTTTAAGGTCCATTTAGAGGAAATGGCCTGGCATGTTTTACATTTGCTGAGCTATTTAGCTGCCTGGTCTGACAAGATTTTTGAAAGGGGTGAAAATTAATTATAATTGCAGTATTGCTACAATAATTTGGTTGGCTAATTGCATTTCAGTGCAAAAACAGGCAAGGAGGAATTTCCTCCCTGGGTTATTTTCTGATATGGCAGCATTCATTTTAAGAGTAATGAGATTTTTAAAAAGTCAAACCTTAAATATCATGGCTTCAGCAATCTGTCCTGCTTAAAGTTTAATGCAAAATGAGATCGCACCTCCGTGAGAGCAGTTACACGTGAACATGGATCCAGTTTTCTCCTAGGCTTGAGAGGAGAAAATCTCTCTCCCCCGAAAACTACTCACAGTATCTCTTTGACATTGTTTGGGGATGATTTTAATTTGGGGGCACCAATGCTCCTGCTTTTGTAGTGAGGGAGGCACTGGTGAGGGTGGGTAGGAAGCTTTGAAAGTCTTCCAACAAGGTATGTGTTGGCAGAAGAGGCGCGACAGGTCTGAGAGAGGAATGTGAGTGGAAACCCACGGATGCAGAAAGGGTGGGTGAGTTGTGGTGGGGTTTTCTGGGCCTCACCATTTTCACGTTGGCTTTTGAGGGAACTTATCTAGCTTCAGACCAGCCATGAGCACTTAAACTCTGAGGGACAGAGTCATTTTATCTAAAATGTTGGAAGACTCTGTCCCAAGGCCTGATGACACCGGGGTAGCTTTGTCAGGTGCTGAAAGCAGCAGACATGAAGCTCTCCCACAACCTGATGACTCCAGCTCAATTCAGGGGCCAGGTTTAGGACGGTCTCCTCCTCCCCTTCTCTGCCATGCTTTCAGTCCAGCCACCAGGTGTGTGTCTAAGAAAGGATTTTGCTATGATGTGCTTTCTCGATTATCGCTCATCAAAATGGGTCTAACGGCATGGCATGGAATCTTCCTTAGGATCTTCATCTAAGTTCTACCTGATCGAAGAGAAGATCAGCATTCAGATGTACCCTGGCTGCCCTCAAGGTCGTACAGCCCCTGTCCTGCACCAGGGCACCTGGTTGAAGGATGAGGGGCTGAAATCCCACCCTGCTCCAGCCATCAGGTGAGACCCCTGCTCTGCTCTGCCGGCTGCATCCCAGAGGAAGGTATGCTTTCCCTAACTTGCATTTTGGCCATGGGAGGCCCTGAGTTTTCCTTGATCCTCTCCCTCCCAGAGATTGCAAAGTCTAGCATTCATCTCCTCACCTCCAACGCTATAGATGTTTTAAGAGGATATGCCCATGGCGAAGGTGAATTCAGTTTGAAGATACGCTTCCTGTTCAGTGAGGAAGGAAGAATAAAAGAAAGAGGGACAGAAAGAAAGGAGAAGAATAAAAGGAATGGAGATGAGGTCACCTTCCTGCCTATTCAATTGTGGTTTCATCGTCCTTCCTTGGACACAGCTGCAAAGGGGTAAAAAATCAATTTTTTTTTCTACTACTTCACGGTGAGGAAGGAGAAAACCTATTTGTAAATTGAATTAAACCCAATAATAGCATGTCTGCGTATTTGTTGAGAACTAGAAAAATTAGCTAGCGATACAACTACGTAATCCAGCAATGTAACTAGAAATCAGCACTCTTCCATTTCAAAGCTTATCTGAGACATTTTTCTTCTTCTTTTTTAAAGAAACACCCATGGCTAAATGTCACTAAGACTCTTCGGCGTGCCAACACATCAACACCTCAGTAAGGACTCTGAAAAGGAAGGGACTCCAAAGCCCCATCTGGGAAGAACATACTTCCAGATTTTTGCCTTTGCTGGTTGTGCATCTCAGTCCATCAATAATGACTGGGTATGAACTAGAATGCTCTAAGAGACGGTTTCTTCCCAAGTTGCAATCTGTGGTGCTGACTGTGGAAGAAATTCCCCGTGTCTGTGTAGGCTAGATCTTGTTCACAGAGACCCTAACCCATCCACGGAGTACCGGATCAGCAGGCTACTGCAGTGAGGGTCCTGAAACTTCATTAACAGTCTGCCCTCTAGTGGGACAACACAGTATTTCAAATAACTAGGAATAGAAAAGACTTTTTTCTTCTCTGTCAGAGGGCAAAAGAATTCAAGTTTTCCAGATAGTGCAAAGTGAGGCATTTTCCCCTCATAAGACAGCTTCCAGAGCTGAATTCAGCAAGGCTCACAATGATAGGTCCCCAGGGCAGAGTTAAAGACAGGTGGTGCTGTGGTGGAGACAGAGGTCTTTCTTCTCACATCTTTGTGAGAACGCTTCAGGGTTCTTCTTGGGCAATAGCATTCAGTTCCCTGCTCTCTCATCATAAAAATAGGACCCACTCTAAGAGCAACCAGCCTATCAGGAACGTTAAAATAACAGGCTTTTCCATAATTTTTGGCAAATCATTAACACAGAGGAGCCTTTCAAAAGGGTCATGTTGAATTTTTTGTTTTTAAAGGCAGAGATGCACATTTTTTTTTTTTTTAAAGGCCAAGTCTTTGTGGCTGTTAATTTTAAGAAGAGAATCCATTTTATGATGGTGGCTGGATGTTGGTAAGGCAGGAGATGATCTTGAGATCTGTTGTCCGGACATTGCTTCTATCTTTTAAAAACCTTCAGAATTTGGCTTGCTTCAGTTTATCAATATGGTAGCACAGTTTCAGCGCGGGGCCCAGCTTCAGACCCAAGTATTTCATGATCATATCACTCTTCAGCAACAAGAGAGCATTGCCATCAATCTCCTGGCAGAACGGGATCAGAAAAAAGAAAATCCAGAAGGTGGTCAGAATAATAGAACAGTGGCTCTGGTTAACATGTGGTCAGGGGATGAGGCGAGGGAATATGGATTTACTCATATATACATCTCTTAGTCCCAAGGCAATCTCTTCTTTAAAAAATAAATTAAAGCAAACAAATACTATGTGTTCCTCTTCCCATAATCTCCCTGAGGTCAGATGATACATTGGATCTTTCATATTCCTGCTCCCCCTACTGAAGGAACCAAACATAACTCCAGTTATGTTCCCGATATCCCCCACATGATATTTATCTCCTTATCTGCTCTAGGACCAAAGAAGCAAAAAAATTACAATGGACTTAATGTTTGTGTCCCCACCCAAATTCAAATGTTGAAATCCTACCCTCCCATATGACAGTATTTGGAGGTGGGGACTTTGGGAGGTAATTAGGTCATGAAGGTGGAGGCCTCATGAATGGGGTTAGTGTCCTTATACAACAAGATGGCAGTCTGCAACCCAGAAGAGGATTCTCACCCTGATCCCAGACTTCCAGTCTCCAGAGCTGAGAAATAACATCACTCTTGTTCATAAGCCAGCCAGTCTATGGTACTTTGTTATAGCAGCTTGACTGGATTAAGACAAAGTGTCACCTGTTAGACCCTGAAACTAGCAGTTACTTTCCCATTTCAGGTGCCGGTACGAGGCCCTGACTGCCTTCCATCCCCCTAATCTCTTCTATCTTTTCTTGGTAAGCCCACTGACCTTGAGCTGATTACCAAATTGCTCATTACATTTGATGAGGGATTTCAGGTGTCTGGCCCTATCAATAATTTGAGGTGGCAGACAACTAAATAATGCACCTACTTCATCCCAGGATTCAGCACAAAGAACTACTAAGGGAATGCCAACCCCTCGTGGTCGTGGTATTGTTCCAATTTGTCTCTGAAAATGGTAACCTTCCAGAATGCGTGTACAATTCATGAACCTACTAAGGCTGGGTTTCCTCATTCACCTATCCTGTTATTTTCAGGTCACAAGAGACAAAGGGTAGAAAGTGTGGGTGCTCAGGTTGGGAGAAGAGGCAGTTACAGGACTCATAGCCATGCAAGGCTCACCAGCCCTTGTTCTGCATCTATGCAGCCAGTATTGATGGAATACCTACTCTGTCACTCACTCTCTGTGTCGTTGGCAAAATGGAAGAGTGGGCAGATCTCAACGATGGGCCTAATATTCTCTCTTTACCCCATCTCCTAGACTTCCACCATCCCCTACCACTCTGAAGGAGAGCCAGACTCCTCCTACCCAGATCTGTCTTCACATAACCCAGTCTATGGTCCCTGCTCTCAAGGCCCCATTGTCCAGCGATGTTAAATGTATCCCTAATGAGCGCCTGGGTGGCTCAGTCAGTTAAGCGTCTGGCTCTTGGTTTCGGCTCAGGTCATGGTCCATGTGGAGTTTGAGCCCCATATCAGGCTCCATGCTGACAGTGTGGAGCCTTCTTGGGATTCTCTCTCTGTCCCTCACCCTCTCATGCCGTCTCTGTCTTTCTCAAAATAAATAAATAAACTTAAATATATATATATATATATATATATATATATCCCTAATGAAATGTGAGTGTCGGGTTAGAGCAGAAGTCTCCCCAGATCTGAGAGTATGGTTTCTATGACAGAATCACCAAACAGAAGTGAGAGACAAGAAGGAGAATATCATGGTAAATGTGGCCAGCCAGAATAATGTTCCCTCTCTTCCCCCTTAGATGTCTACGTCCTACTCCCCTAACCTGTGAGTATGTGAGGTTACCTGGCAAGGGGGAATTAAGGCTACTGATGAGCTGGATTTAAAATGGGGGGGGGGGGAAGGGTATCCTGGATTACCGGGTGGGAGAGACAGCATCATCGCAAGGATCCTTACAAACGGAAGAAGAAATCAGAAGACAGAACTAGAGTCGGCAGCCTGGGCAGGACTCGCCTGATGTTGCTGGATTTGAGGATGAGGGCAGAGGCCTACAGGCCAAGAAATGAGGGTGGATCCAGATGCTGGGAAAGGCAAGGAAACCAATTCTCCCTAGAGCTTCCAGAAAGGAATGTCAGCCCTGCAGACGCCTTGATCTCAGCCCGCCAAGACCCGTCAGACTCCTGACCCACTGAACTGTAAGATAATAAATCTGTGTTGTTCTAAGCTAGATGTTTGTGGTAATTGGTTCTAGCAGCAATAAAAAACTGACATAGTAAGCCTGGCAGACGAAGTATTAATTATTACCTTTTTTTTATTTACCATATTTATAATATTTCAGAATCTCTTAAATATATATTCTAGAATCTCCGTTCTAAGAATACCTGCTACCTGAAGGCTAACTATAAGCCAGGTGTCGTGCTGAACACCTTACGTGCACTTTCTCATTGAACCCTCAAAGCAGCTTAGACTATTAGGCACGGTTACAGTTTGCCCGGCATATTGTAGGTGTGCTATAAATGTCTGTTGAATGCGCAGACAGACGGAAGGATGGGCAGGAAAACAGGCACTCCTAATAACGGCCGAAATGAGGGAACAGATGGGACAAATACCCCTTCTTAAAAACAAAACGAAGTGAGAAGCCTGTAGTTCCATCTGGCCTCCCTTGAGTGGTGGCCCGAGGCTTAGTTGAGACCAGTCCCCCTCTGCAGCCTGCAGCTCCCTGAACCTCGCCCTTCCTCCATGCTCCCTCCACCCCCGCCTCCGGCCCCCTCCCAGGCCAGGCCTACCATGTGCGTGCAAGTACTCACGTGCTTTCTGAAGAGTTCCACGTGAGGCCCCAGAGCCTGCGGGTCAGCGTCTTTCACGAACCAGACCACATCCTCCACAGTCCAGGTAGAGGGGTTCCTGCTCCGGGGCCGCCTGGCATCCTGTCCGTCTGGGGAAGGGCTTGAGGCTGGACGGGTGAGCACACACAAGGAGGACATTAGACACCGGGATGATGGCCTCAGTGCCTACCTGGTGCTGCCTGCCCCCACCTGGCCCTTAGTCCAAGGCTGTGGCCTGAGTGACCTCCTGTGACAGAGAAAGGCTGGGAGAGACAGCCTGCAGCACGGGGAGGCCACTTCTGGAGGCAGACCCTCCCATCCCTGCAAACGACCTCCGCTCTCCCACGGAGTAAAGCGTTAGAAAATGGATCTCCTTCAACAGGCTGTGCTTCTGGTCCATGTTAGTTTTAAAAAAAACCCTCCTGCTCAGTTCTGTCTCAGTGAGCCCTGGACCTCCTTAGCCGGGTGACCAGAGAAGGCTTGATAAGCTGAACGTCCAAACTGGCCCCTACAGTGCTAGGAGGCCAGAAAGAATTCAGATCCTTTCTGTCTCCCCTGGTTACACCGAGACATAAAGACATAGGAGAACCGAGGTGCATTTTGGTCCTCGTTCTGGGTCTCTGCTGCCAGTGCCGGGAATCCCGCTGTGAGAGGCGCCTCTTCTCTGCATGTGCAGAAAGGAGACATCCTCTCACTGCCCCAGGCACAGAGTGCCTCCATGGCCCCCTGCTCTTCAGAGGACTTGCCCCAGTCTCCCCTACTAGCATGAGAGTTCCTTGACAGCAAAGGGTCTAATCCTGTGCCTGGTCCCGAGCTGGTCCTTGATACGTGATTATTGCATGACCTGCACCATTCCTTAAATGCATCCTCCACATGGCAGAGTAAAAGGTACAAGACAAGTAAAGGAGGAAAAAAGTAACGAATCGAATGCCTGGCCATATCTAGAGGTTGACTTTTTTCATATGTCCCAAACTAACTCCTTCTCTTTCTCCAGCACCAGGTTCTCCTCCTATCCGTCAGGTTTCTGAAACCACAGTGATGTCCTACTTCTACCTCTCCTTCTACTGCCCCTTATTTGCTCCCCACCTTTAATTATTCTTAAGCTCTTAGGAAGATGCCTCTCACACTGGATCCTCCCTCCCACCCTGCTGCCCCTATCGGAGATCCTCTTACCCAAACCCCTGCGATGGGTTCCATGGGTATCCTTGCCCTGGGCTCTCTTCCTTCTGGGCAAAACTGTCTACTGCCTCAATGCTTTCTGTAGACCCAACCCTGTCTGTGCCCCTTGCCTATGTACTGACTCCAGAGTCCATACTGTAGCTCAAGGTCAAGGACTCTCTTATAATAACATCTTTCCTTCTGAGACAGAGGGGAAGCGCTTTTGTGCCAGAGAGACCTAGGAACAAACCCTGGAGCCACCCACTGCTACCAATTTGACCATGACTCAGCTCATTAGCTGTAAAATGGCAACACTGTCCTTTAGGAAGGGCAAGTGTCAGACTGAAATGGGATTAGGCCTAAGCCCTAGGGCTACCATGCATCAGGCACTCCACAGAGGGGAGACACCCTGCCTGCCTCCACTGCCCTCCTGCGCACTCCCATCCGGGCACACTGACAGAATGTCTCCCTAGCTTCCCTTCTCCATCTTTAGCCAGGGCTTTTGGCTTTTCTCTAGAAGCACATACCCTCCCTCCTTTCCACAGAAGCTCCACCAGCCGTCAAAACCCAGGCAGACCCCTTCATAGGCAGCATTTCTGTGTCCTGCCATCTGGACATCACATTCCTCTGCCTTTAACCCCCACATCTTTGTTCTCAAGACGCTTTCCACATTCCACCTTATACTGCAGTTACGCGTGTCTATAACCTCCAGTTAGATTTAAATTTCTTGAGGACAATCATTTTCATCTCCCCCCGTCCCATCCCATTCATTCCACAAACATCTACTGAGCATCTCTTCTGTACCAGGTCCTGGGCAAAGTGTCTGGTGAAAAACAGGATCCTCTCATTACGGGGTTTATAATCATTGACTCCTCCACAATTCTAAGTAAATGTGTTTGTAAATATGGGCTCAGGAGGTGTAAAATGAATCAACATATTTTGTAGGAACAGTATAGATAACTCACATAAAGGACTTGAGCAGGTAATCCTTAATCCTATTTTCAGGCCCAAAGAAAGTGGAGGCTCTGAATAATGAAGCAGCCTCCCTACAGAATAATTCTACGTGAAAAGTCCAGAAGCCTTCACTTCCACTTCCCCTTTTCAGTCTCGGGGCGCAGTGGTTCTCTGCTCTCTCTTTCCAGCTCCTCTTTTTAACATGCTCGAAAAGTGCACAGCTCTCCATTAGTGCTGAGCAAAGTACAACATCACATTTCCAAGTGTGCCCTAAAACCATAATGGTTCAGTTGAGAACTGGATTTGCTTTGAGATTTTCCCTGTCTTTTCCTTGCCGGACCTGGGAGGGTCCCCGAACGTGGGTTGGCACAGGGCATTTTGCCGGGAAACTGTTAGTGCACCCCGGAGCCGTCTGAATGCGGATGCATGCTTGTTCGAGATGATTTCACTGCATTTAAAGACATCTGCATTCAACATGGGGACGAGGAATCACAGAAATCATATTCGCCCTCGATCCTGCCCCATCGGTGCTTCGGTGGTAATCAGGGTGATAAAAGATGCTCTGATTACAAAGGCTGCAAGCCTTTGGTGCCAAGAATGATTTTAGAGTGATCATAGCAGAGGTCAAATCAAGTTTCCTGTATCTGACGGGAAAGAAGAATACCAGACCAATTCACAGCATCATCCCTGGGAGCCCAAGCTCCTTGAGCAAGGTCAGGGCACAACTTTCCTAGTGGTCACAGCCAGGGGTTGAGCAAGAGGGGTGGGATCATCTTGACTGAGGAGGCTCTCCAGGTGATGGCTGTGGAGGGAGGCGGCCCAGTTGGAGAGTGGCCCCGGTGCTTGCTGTGGGCATTTTTCACCTTTCCAGGATGAAATGGCACCAGCCGGGCCTGGCTTGGGAGCCTCTCTGAGGGGGTCTCTTAGTCATACAAGACAGAGAGCAGCAGGAAGCCTGCCACACCTTGGAAATTGCTCAAGATCCAAAGCACATAAACTCGCTCTAGAAGGAAGAGAAATGGAACTTTCCAGTGGCAGGTTTGCAAAGCCTTTGCAGTGGTCTGTGCTCACAAAGATAATAAATACGCTAACACCCCTCCAGTGGCTGTGAATGTGTCAGGAAGACAGATGGGTCCGGCCTGACACAGCCAGGCCAGACGGATGTGATTGGACGGCAGGAAGACATGATGGATGTGAAAAGAATCTTGTTCTAAGGGACCAGGGCATGCAAAGTGCTCGCCAAACGCCTTTATGGAAAGGCAGGATTCTCCATGTCAGAGAACTTTGTGTATGTCATGTCCCTTCACTAGAGCTGCCGGATTCGGTGAAGAGTGAATCCCAGTTGTGAATGGATGTGTAGGTGAAGGAGGTGGGGGTTGTTTCTAAAGCCGATCTCGAGTGCACCAGGAATAAATGCCTACGAATCAGTGTTTAAAGCAAGCCCGGGCATTTTCACGGCACAGGGACTTGCACGGCTGTCTTTGAATCTCTGTGTCTCATACCTGCCCACAACCACATGCATAATTTCCTTTTGCTCATTCATAATTCAAAGAAAACTTTTGAGCTAACAATAGAGTCATATGGAGGAACGGAAGGAGCAATGAGCCGGGAGTCAAAATCCCTACCACCCACCAGCCGTGTGAGTGTCTTTGTACTTCTCAGGTGTGAAATAAGGGAGTTGGGAAGAATCTCTAAGGTTCCTCTGCCTCTGATATGGTTGTGGTTTGTCCCGCACAACACCCGGGGAGTCACCTTGTTGTGTATCAGAAAGTCTTATCAGTGTGTCCATGAGCAATGCACACTGAATAGAGTACCAATGGCCAAGCTTGTAGCCCTTCCTGGCCCAAATCATTCTCCGTGGGCTTTAGTTTCTTCATCTTGCTGCTCAAGAGTATCGTAAGAATCAAGTATGTGGCTCTGGGCTGGAGCCTGACAAAGAACATCTTGAAGGGAAGCCCATCGGTGTCCAAAAGGGACCCCTCAGTGTCCTTCCTCAGGTTTCTCTGAGTCCCCTGGGCCCTCTCGGCATCTCTAGCGCTGGGTCTGGGTTGGAGGGGATGGGGGTGAAGGCCAGGGAAGGGTAGATCTGTTCTCAGCTCCTCCCAGTGACCTGGTCCCTGTAGAAGGCACCCTTCCTGGAAACAAGGCCATGAGGAGTGTGGGAGGTGCCCAGCCTAGCCCACAATCTGGGTAGCATCAGGTAGTTTAAAACAGTGTTGTGTTTCATTATTTCTGTGGTAAGAATTTTCAAGACTGTATGAGGTGAGAGAGATAGGAGACAGAAGAGCACCTGACCAATCCTCAAATTTTAATCAGATTTTTCTTTTATTCTTTCAAGACTAGTTGACATGCTGCATGAGAAGAGAGGATGCCCCGAGAGACAGGAGAGACGAAAGGCCGAAAATGAGGCCACACTGGGCTGGATCCTTCTCTACCACCACAGACATGTGACCTCTGGGCAAGCAATCTGACCGCTGCCAGGAAGCTTCCAGCCACTCCTCCCCACGGTCCTTCCCTAGCCAGCTCCTGCTTCCCTGTCCAGCTGGCTCCACTGTCACTTCTCTGGGAAGCTTTTCCCATCTCCCTGGAGCAGGCTCAGTGACTCCTTCCTAGCTGATCCTCCCATAGCATCATATTTTTCCTTGGAGGGATAGTCACTGTTGTAATGAAGTTTGTGCAATATTGTTAACGTCTGCCTCTGTGGAATTGCACACTGTCAGAGAGCAGGGCCCACATGTGTCTTGCTCACAGCTCCATCCTTAGACCTGGGACGAGCCCCTGGCATAGTGTGCTCAGTAAGTATCTGCTGGCTGAGGTGGAGCAAAAGCTGTCTGAGACTTAGTTGCCTTGCCTGTCAAACACCTACCATGTTGAGAGGATTAAATGGGATGATGTGAAGCATTAACCAGTAAGAATTAATCAAAAGGTAGTTACTATGCTTCCTATTGTTATGATGTGTCATTCCATAATGGCCAGTAGGTTTGTCTTGCTAAAGTCCATGGTCATCAGCTTACCTCCCTGTTCAGAAATGTCTGGTTCCCACAGATGAAAGCTCAGTCTGCTTGAAGTGGACCCCAAATCTCCCAGGGTGATTTCCCTCAGCATCTCTGCTCAAACTCTCTTCTTTCCCTGCAATGAATAAGCCCTTGCCACACTTTTGCTCACGTCAACCCCTCCACATAGAGCGCTGTCCCTATTCTCATTTTCTGATTGGATGGTCTCTCTGTCCATCACCCAACACCTTACCCTATGGAAGCTTTACTTTCTTCTTTATTTTCGTTCTTTCTTGATTCTGAAACTTGGACCTAATTGTGGTTGGGACTTCTACAGCATGTCCTATTTAATGCAAAAGTTAGGAAGCTTTTGTTATCTGAAAACTTTATAGCTCTTGATGCTTGCATGTTGGGTGGGAGAAGATGTTTATATGTTGGATGGGGAAGAGCTCTCAAATTTTTACCCGAGTATCAGCAAAAAACAAGAAAATGTGTCCTGTGAATACATCCCCTCAGAATCCATTGGCAGGGGCTATAGGTATGATCTATCAAGACAGCAGGGGGCAGGAGGAGTACTCACGAGAGAAGGCTGAGAAATTTGTCATGTCATCCATATCTACCCTCCTGCCTGCAGCCTCATGCAGTTCTCTGGATTCTGTGATTTTAAACCATTTTGATTAGCACCACAGGGGAAAATCCTTTTTTAGGTCCCCTCCAGGGTTTATGACTTAGGTCAAACCCTCCTAAAGAGGTATGGCTTCTTCAAACCAAGTACTTACACTTGGGAAGCAATTCCAGAGCAATCCTGAGCAATTCCCAGGGTGGAGGGCAAACTTCATAACCCTCCAGAGTGCCCACAGCAAGCACCCAGACTGGCAGTTAAGTGACAAATGGGTAAGGAGGCCAATGGTTTCCTCTCCTACTTTAATATACTGCCATTCGATTCAGCACAGCTTATCTCCATGGGTTCCAGATATGTTTAGCTGCACGGACTTTGTTTGAGCAAAGCGTACATAGAACCCCGCTCTGCAAATGTGAAGAGGCCCTGGTTAAAGAGGGCAGGGTGTTGGGAGTCCTGTCTGCTCCCATCCCCTCTTCCTTATCCCCTAGAGCTTCGAAGGGACCCCCTGAAGCCTACTGAAAGTCTGGAAATCCCTGGGGTAATTTTGAAAGACACAGGCTTTGGAGCCAGTTAAAGTGAAATCCTTACTCGACGCTTGAATGACCTTATCTTGATCTTCACTTTCTTTATCTGTACCTTGTATATAATAATATAATAATATGTACATATTATAATAAATCATAAAATACAACTTGCAAGAAGTCATAAATAATGTATGGAAAGTGTCTGGCTCTTGGTAGGTGCTCAATAAATAGTTATGTAGTATGTGCCTCAAGCAAGCAGGCTCCTATTCTGGGGCTATGGAGGATTTGGATATGAGCAAGGGACCTCACAAAGCTGAGGGTCTGGTTCCTACTGTGGGACAGGGAAGAGAAAGTCCTAGAGATGAGAGAACAAAGTGCTACAGAAGGAATCGGAAGGAACAAACATTTCTAATTGGGAGGTGTGGCTGAGACTCTCGGTCACCTACTCAATATCTCTTTTTGCACTTTTTCCTTTATAACGGAAACCCTGATTTCCAGCAGGGATCGTGGTTTCTTAGAACAAAATCATATTTCCCAGTTTCCCTTGCAGTTGGTAGCCATGTGACTAAGTTCTGGCCAATGAGATGGAAGCAGCAGTGGAAACCTCTCTCAGAGATGCTGGCACTGCCCTCCTACATCTTGATGCTAGAGTGGACAGAGCTGGCTGGCTTTCTGGTATCTATGTTTCCATTTAGCACACTGGTTAAAGGAATCTTTGGAGCATTCGAGTTAATGTGCCTACAAAGGGCGAATAATTTTCTTTTTTCTTCAGTATACTAAAGAGGCTCAATAATGAACTTCTACCATTACATTTTGCAGCTAAAATGAGGAAGCTAGGTGGGTGAGTGTGTGATTTTTGAACATCCCAAAGCCCCAAAGCGTCCAGCTAATTATGGACAACTCTGATTCGCAGGGCATCAAAGTTCTCACTAATATTTCTAAGTGGTGAAAGAGGGTATTCAGGGTACAGTTAGTGTTTTGCTTGGAGCGGAAGGTAACAGGCACTGGTGGGCTCCATCTCTCTGATTTTACCCAAGATCCTAAGAGGCAAAGCCCTGAGTGAGGGGGGATCTCCTGGGGGGTTAACCAGAGCTCTGACAGAGAGGGTTCTCTCAGAGTTGGTTCCCAGGGAGGGTCTGGGCCACCCCTCAGGCAGACCCCCTCAGACAGCTAACTGGAGAACAAAGGGCTGGGGAGGAGGCGACAATGAAGGACAAGAGAGTAGTTGAGGGAGTGATAGATAGGAGGGCATCCCAGCGGGGGAGGGAAGCTACCTTGAGATCCCTTTGAAGGATCTAAGATTCCCCTCATCCAGGGGTACCAGATAGACTGGGATGGAGCAGACAATTCTTCAGGTAGTGATAGAAGTTCTTTTCATCCTTTTATTGCTTAAATCCTACACTTACGACATCGGGCCTGATACTCCACCAACTTGACCAGAAGACAGGGTAAATATCTCCTTTTTAAAAAATGGCAACACTCTTAGAATTATGAGTCAACTCAATCAGGCGATGACCTGCAATCACCCTGAGCAAATGGGAACTGGGTTGAGGAGAAGAGGTTGACAGGAAGAGACAGCTAAAAGGCAGAGGGGCACCAAGAGGAGTGTTTTGACAACCAGGGGCAACATGAGGACACTGGCATCATGGTAGGGGACACAGAGATAATAAATGTTTATTGAACGACTACATGTCGGGTGGTACAAAAACTCTGGGGATAAGCCTAGGAAATAAACACTGCCCCTCATTTACTTTAAGATGTTGATTTGTGCCAAATCTTGTTCTCTTCTCTTGTTCTTAAAAATCAGGTAGAACAATGTCTCTCCCCTTTGGAAAATGGGCTCTGCCCACTCAAATCTTCTGCATGGCTGATGGCTTATGTGACAATGTTGGGAAGTAGTCTGCAGGGTGCCTCTACATTTGGCAAGAGCCCCCGTGGCTGAGGGATTCTGTACTCTGCTCCTCAGAACTGCCTTCTGCGCAAGGCATTCCTGCCTGCCTTTCTATCTATCCTCAGCCAGGAGAGCCTTGTGTGAGATGGGGGAGGTCTTTGAGGGGAACACATGGAGGATGTTGGATCATACAAACTAGCTCATCACTGTGGCTTCTCAGGGCTACTGGTAGAGAGATCCAAGGCTCCAAACAAAAATGTGACTTGTCAAAGAAGACGGCCAACCCATTGGGAGGCTGCAGAGGGGCAAGATGAAGACTCCCCAACTCCTCAGCCTGGGGCCTCCTCTCCTCAGCAGCTTTCAGGTGCAGAGCTGCTGGGCTGTGATTGGGTGAGAGATGTGTTCACGTGACCTGTGACAGCTAATCTTTATCGAGCTTTTACCATGTCCTCGGTCTGACACTAAATACACGTGTGAACTTATTTAATCCTCCCAACAAACCTATGAGATAGATGCTGTTGTTATCATTCTAATTTTACAGGTAAGGAAACTGAGGCACCGAGAAACCCAGACTTGCAAAAGGTCATACAGTCAGGAAGTGGTAGGTCCATGATTCTAGCCCAGTGCATCTGGCTCCATATTCCATGGATTATCCACTATGCTTTACAGCCTTTGTTCATTAATGAAATACTGAAGCTTGAAAATGGTTTAAAAAAACAAAACAATTCACAATAGACACAAAGCTGTCCCTAGAATGAGAGCACTTTCATGCATTGCATCCCAACAAGGTATTACAAGGTAGTATAACCATCATTAAGGAAATGTTGTTTAACTCTGGTTCTGCCCATGTATTTGTGTCCTACAAATGTCACCCACTATGCAAGAAAAGATGCTTTATTGACATCTGGTTCTTCTTTTTCCTGGCACAGAGATGATCTACATCTCTCAGATTCCCTTAGAGTTAAGTGTGGCATAATGGCCAGCTCTTGCCAATGAAATGTGAGTGGAAATGACGTGCATCATTCTCAAGCTCTAGGGAAGAGTATGTGCCTTCCTCACTCACTCTTTCCCTTTCTACCCAGTAGGTGTTCAGGACATGGAGGCCACAGGGGATAGCAGGACCACAAAATGGACAAAGTCTGAGTCCCTGATTTGGGATGCATCCACCACCTAAGAACACCCACCTTGGACTCTTGAACAAAAAAATAAAATAAATTTCTATTGCATTTGAGCCACTGTACATTTTGGAATCTACTTAGTCCTACAGCCTAGCCTGTTCTTATATGCTATTTTCTTTACTTATGGTCAAAAGTTGAAGTTAGCTGCCTTTAAGAACAACAAAAATTCTTGAAAGGGCTTCCAACTTCCCAGTGTTCCATATTCAGAAATCATTGTTCCCCCTGAAGCCACCCCCTTCCCCCTACATGCAGTTATCCCAGAGTAAGGGCAGAGGAGGTTAAGTCATGGGGAAGCCAGAGCATGCATTACGTTACCACATCTGTTTCCTTCAAGAGGGGTCCCGTTTCTCTTGGGGCTGGAGCCTGGGGGCCTCAGCCCAGGTGTCAAGGGGCCTCCAGAGGACATGGGGCTGGAGCGGGGACCACTGGCAGTGGTGGCCAATACTCCCCCAAGGTGGCCATCTCCAGAGTTCTGTCTCTTGCAGTACAGCGAGGAAGAGGTGGGCAAGGAGCCCCTGTGGCTAAAGGTGGAGGCGGAGGGGTCCATGCTGTAGCGGTTCATGCCCGCAGGGTTCGCCAGGCACTCCTCAGTGGTGACTGTTTTTGCTAAGCAAGAAGGCAGGACAGAGAAGCAGAGATCAGAAAGCAAGTCCAGGGGCTACCTGACAATCTTGGCAAACATTTCCTCAGTGGCATGGGTGCCACTGCCTGTGGGAACGAGAGATGAGGAGGAATGCACCCCATATCATAATCCCAAATAGTTCACTCTCAGCAGATTGAGACACTTGTCTCACCAACAAAGCATATCACAAAGAAGGGATGGGAGATGTGCCCCTTCTGTGTTCAAAAGAAAAAGGGATTAATTTGGTTATTGGTGATTTGGAAGTAAAATTCAAAGGTGTTTCTCCTTCCATGGTGTTGCCTCTCCAGCAGTCGCTACTAGCTTGTCTGAATCTCCCTGTGCTCTTTTCTCTTGCCCACAAACACCACTAGCCTCACTTGGCCCAGGATGCTTTGGAGAAATCAACCAATAGTTACAATGCCCTTGAGTTAAGAGAACCACTTTGGCCTGGGTGGTGACATAGGGGCAATGGTGCTTCCCCCTCCACCCCCCTAATTTTAGTCTCAATACACAGAAGGGTACTGTCCTTCCTCCAAAGCTAACAAGCTGGGGACACAAATGCTGATCTGATTGGCCCCACGGTCCTCCCCATAACCAGCATTTGAGAGATAAAGAGCCAATCAAAAGTGCAGCGGGAGTAAAGCTGCTGAAGAGTCAGCCAACCTCATCATCAGCTCCCCTTTACTCAAGTAAATCACAATTTTCTATACTTTTAAAGCTTGAACTCCCTGTTGAACTCTGTGACCTATACCTATGGCCAAATGGTGTGGGGTGTTTTGTTTTATTTTTAAGGAGAAAGTTCAGGAGGATTATGGGAATAGAAAGAAAAAGAAAAATATTCTAGGAATTCCTTGTCTTTAGTCCCTCCAGTCCCAGACAAGATCACATGTGCCTGGTCCCATCAGTTATCATCTTTATACCACATATGGTCAAAACAGATCTTGACATGCACAAAGAAAATTGTTAGAGTAACAAAAACCAGTGGATCCTCCAAGGTTGGCAATGGGGTAACACATTTGAGGCCACAAGACCCAGATGTTTTCTTCATTATGGATTCCTCCCATAATGCAGATAATGAAAGATTAAGACTTGATTTTATTAGGGGAACTAGCAATTCTTATATGTTGGAAAATATATGGATCTTGTCTGGAAATAAAAGTCATTGCATATGGGATGTCGCTAAAGCAGTGCTTAAAGCAAAATTTATAGCTGTAAATAATTACATTAAAAAGAAAAAAGATTTCAAATTAATAACCTAATCTTTCATGATAAGATGCTAGGGAAAAAAAGAGCAAACTATACCTAACTAAGCAGAAGGAAAGAAATGAAGATTAAAGCAGAAATAAGTAAAGACTAAAAAAACAACAGAGAAAATCAATGCATCCAAAGCTGGCTCTTCGAAACAATAACAAAATTGAAAAACTTTAGCTAGACTGGGCAAGGAAAAAAGAAGATTCAAATGATCAGAAACAGAAATGAAAGAGATGACGTAACTACCAATCTTACAGAAATAAAATGGATCATTAAGGAATACTATGGATAATCATATGCCAATACATTAGATAGAAGAAGAATGTAGACAGAAGAAATGGACAAATTACCAAAACTGACTCAAAAAAAAAAAAAAATAGACAATCTGAGTAAACCTGTAACAAGTAGACAGAATGAATCAGTAATCAAAACTACTCACAAAGAAATCCCAGGCCCAGATGGTTTCATGAGTGGATCCTACCAAGCATTTAAAGAAAAATTAAAACCAATTCTTTATAAACTCTTCCAAAAGATAGAAGAGGAATGTTATGGACTGAAGTGTGTCCTCTAAAATTCATATGTTGAAGTCCTAACTCCCAAAGTGACTACATACAAGAAGGTAGTAAAGGTTAAGTGAGGTCTTAAGGGTAGGACCTTAATTTGACAACACATGCTCACTAGCTCTCTCTCTCTCTCTCTCTCTCCCCCTCTCCCTCTCCTCCCCCCCGCCCCCCGCCCCAGCAACATACATACACAGAGAAGAGGCCATGCGAGGACACAGCAAGACAGTGGCTGTCCACAAATCAGGAAGAGCGCTCTCAACAGAAACCACCCCTGACAGCACGTTGATCTCACTCGTCTAGCCTCTAGAACTCTGAGAAAATAAATTCTATTGTTAAATCAACTAGACTGTGGTATTCTGTTGTGGCGACCAAGCAAACTAATACAAGGAAGGAATACTTCCCAACTCATTCTATAAGGCCACTATTAACCTGGTACCAAATCCAGACAAAGACATTCCAAGAATAGAAAATTATAGAATAATATCTCTTATGAATATGGATACAAAAATCCTCAACAAAATGCTAGCAAATCAAATCCTATAACATATAGTATAACTTATACACCGTGACCAAGTAGGATTTATCCCAGGAAAGCAAGACTGTTTTAACAGTTAAAAATCAGTTAATGTAATATACCATATAAATAGAATAAAAAAACAAAGATAGTACAATGATCTCAATAGATTTGACAAAATCCATTGTCCTTTCCTGATAAAAACACTCAACATACTAGGAATAGAAGGGAACTTCCTCAACTGGAGAAATGGCATCTACAAAAACCCTATAGCCAACATCATTGTTAATGCTGGAAGACTAGATGCTTTTCTTCCTAAGATCAAGAAAAAGACAAGGATGCTTATTCTCACCACTTCTATTCAACATTTTACTGGAAGTTCCAGCCAACCCAATTAGGTAAGAAAAAGAAAGAAAAAGCACCTAGATGGGAAGGAAGAAATAAAACTATCTCTTGTATGTAGAAAATCCTAAAGAATCCATTAAAACATTATTGCAACTACTAAACGAGTTTAGCAAGGTTGCAGGATACAAGATCAATATGCAAATACCAATTGTGTTTCAGATTAAACAATCTGAAAATGAAGTTAAGAAAACAATTCATTTATAATAACATTAAATGAATAAAATATGGAGAAATAAGTTTAATAAAAGAAGCATAAAACTGAAAACTATAAAATACTGTTGACAGAAAGTAAAGAAGATCTAAACAAATGGGGAAAAACCCCATGTTCATGAATCAGAAGACTGAATATTGTTAAGATGGCAATAATCCTTAAATTGACCTATAGAGTCAATGTAATTCTTGTCAATATCTCAGCTGACTTCTTTGTAGAAACTGACAAATTGTTTCTAAAATTCATACAATTTTCGAGGGACCAAGATTAACCAAAACAATCATGAGAAAAGGACAAAATGGAGCATTCACACTTTCCAATTTCAAAATTGACTACAGAGCAATGATAGTAAAGACAGTGTGATGCTGGAATATGAGTAGGCATGTAGATCAATGGAATTGAATTGACAGTTCAAAAATAAACCAATGTATGTTCAACTGATTCCCCACAAGGGTGCCAAAATCATTTAGTGGGGAAAGAAAAATCTTTTCAACAAACTGGTGTTCGAACAACTGGATATCCACATGCAAAACAATGAAATTGGACCCTTACTTCATACCATATACAAAAAAATCAACTCAATATTGGCCAAAGACTTAAATGTAAGAGCAAGAATTTATAAAACTCTTAGAAGGAAACATAAGAATAAATCTTCATGACCTTGAGTTTGGCAAGGCATTATTACATTTGACACCAAAAGCGTGAGCAAGAAAAGAAAACAATACACAAATTGGACTTTATTAAAATTTCAAACTTCTGTGCTTTGAAAGATACCATTAAAAAAAAAGTGAAAAGATAACCCACGGAATGGGAGAAAATACTTGCCAATCATATGTCTCATCAGGGACTTGTTTCCAGAGTAACTCAATAATGAAAAGACAACCTAATTTAAAGGTGGTCAAAGGACTTGAATAGACTTTTCTCCAAAGAAGATATACAAATGGCTAATAAACACATGAAACATGTTCCCCATCATTAGCCATTGGGAAATGCAAATCAAACCCACAAAGAAGTATAACTTCACACTCACTAGAATGGTTACAATAAAAAAGTCAGATAAAGACAAATGTTGATGCTGTAGAGAAATTGGAATCCTCATACACTGTGGGAAAAGGAAAACTAACACTTATTGTGCACCTACTATGGGCCAGCACCATTCTAAGCCAGTAAGGAGTAAGGCTGCCATTATAGTCCCCTTTTTGGAATGTTCTCATTATCCGAGATACCAATCCTTTTGGTATCCTTTGATCCCTAGTGGCAGGTGCTTTGGTATATGTGAGGAAGCTACTCATAGTGTCTGGCATACAGAAGGCACTCCATAAATATTTACTGAGTAGACATTTGGGCACTGTTAGCAGTGAGGCAGCCATTGCATAGAACATGCATTACAATTCATGTAAATAAATGACAACCAATGATAAAAAAAAGATGTAACTAAAATGTTTATTTTGTTTATTAAATATTTTAAATCCAAATTAAATATGTCTACATAGTTCTGATAGTGTAAGGCAGAGAATGCAGATAATCCTCCAATCTGCACTATAGCTGGAAAATATCTCTATTTTCCAGGTGAAAGATTGTTCTCCTATGACAACGTGCAGAAATGGGGAACAAGGGAACGTGGACTTTATTGGTTTAAAAACTGCTGACGACCATGGGTGGGATCAAAGGTAATAAAAAGTCAGTTTCTGGGCTGGGATCCAAATGAATTCATCAAAAAGTAAAACCGACTTGAGAGACCATCAAGCAAAGCCTTCTACCCAGCAAAGGATACACCAGTGATTCCAGAGGCAGCGGGTGAACAGCCATGGAGACAGGTCCGCAAGCCCCCCATGGGGGCTCTGCATAGCCTGGAGCTCCCAGGAAGCCTGGGAGCGAACAGCACATACAGGTGCACACACCAGGGTGCCGTTCAGAATTGATGAGACACAGCTGCTCAAACCTGGTTCAAACAGCCTTTTCCTCACCTTTATAAATAGGGGTGCTGACACTTACATCACGCCAAAGCGTAAAGATGACTGATATAATGAAGGCCATCAT